TTCCTCTAAAAAACGTAGTTGAAAAGGTACACAGTAGTAAATCATCAGTTTATAGTTTACCTCAAAAAAGTAGGCAAAAAGCATGCAAGATATAAGAAGCATTTACTAGACCATCATAAGGTAGCCAAATGCCTCGTCATCTAATAAGTGATGCATATAAATGGATTAATCAGATTACCACTATCCCGATCTACTATCTAGTGAAACCACAACCAAGGCAACGGGCTTGGCAGAATTAGCGAGGAAAGAAGACCCTGTTAGGTTTGACTCTGGTCCGATTCTGAGGATACATGATGGATGTAGTGTAGGTGTGAAAATGTTTTCTTCGTCTTCGAAATAATCACATTTTCACAAGTATATTCTCAAGTTTTTCTACTAAGAAACTTGTATTCAGTTGATAAATTACTTTAAAACATTTTATCCCTACCGTTTAGTGTTTATGTTTTATAAGGAAATATGAAACTGTTCATCACAAATAATGCATATGAAATGTGCACTGTCGGTACTTATACTCAAAGCATCTTTATCATTCAGTGATGTTACACTTGTCTACAATACACTGTACATAAATTTAACGGAAAATGAAATGATAAATATTAGTGGTATAAATTTTTATCATAAAAGCTATTCAATTTGTAGTACACGTCACTAAATAGCTTTAGCATGACAACAATTAGAAAACAAAGAAAAACTAGACAACAGTATTACCGTCGTCCAAAACTTCCTAAATATCGACATCAATGACTGCTCCAGGGATCAAAACCTAGATCTACAGGTTTAGTAGATAGCTCTTGTCTTAAAACTACTTAGTGGATATCCAATGATTTACATTTCCAACGTCAACCAGTTTATGATATTTTGCTATTATTATCTACTTCTGACAGTAACACCTACCTCATTTACGGTATAACTGACCTCCGTTAGTCATAACTTCTCATTAAAACTTCAGAAATAAGTATTGCATTTAATCATCAGTTGACTCATGATTACTATTAGTCTAGAATGTTTCGGATGAAACTGTTTAATTTGTAGTTTAGATCACATAAATGCGCATATCTAGTTTTCTGTTAACCCCTGGCAAACTTTTTAAAAATAAAAAAAAACTGTTTCTGAGACTTGCTTTGTTATATATAACAATATACAAAGATGAAATAATTTTAAGATAACAAAAACCATTAATTTCACATGGCTTTTACCTTTAAAATTATACTTTTACATCTAATGATCTTTCAATGAAACACTGAAGCCATATAAATTACATTATTTTTCAATGTAATATGTCTTTTTTTTAAAACGAATATAGCTAAATAGCATCTGTTATGTCTGACTTTATTATACATTGACCACCTGATGTTTTGAATACACCTGTTTGAAAGACAAGCATAACATGGTTATTCCTCACGCTACATATAATTTCTTTGGAGTAAGTATGCTGAAATGTAAACGCGAACGGTAAAACTTAGTCCAGATTACAAACTAGTAGTTGGTCTAATGCATATATTATAATACTTATGAATATAGAAAAGTAGTTCACGATATTCAACTAGGGTTGTTTGTTTCTTTAAGCATACGGAAAACTGTCTCTAAATTTTAACAGAAAAGATGAGAAAAAATATAGACGTCCTATCTGACATTACATCTATGAACTACAAAAGAATATCAGCTATTTATTTAATAATAATTTATGTTCTGAAAGTAATAATTACAGAATTCACGCCAGTTTACAGGCATGATCAATTTGATATAAATAGTAACATTAGATACACAGAACAAACATGTGATAGAAGAAAGTTTTAAGTATACTAGTTCAGTAGTTGTTTAGGTAGTACATGTATTACAGCGATCCAATGCATCAGCTGGGAATTTTTAATATTTCTTAAATGGACAGCCCGTTGATTTATGAACGGTGTAATTAAGGTCATTCCCTGTGCCAGATCGAATTAATGATAATTATCGACAACTAGAGAAATTAAAACGAAAACAGAGAGCACTGAACAACAAAGCGGTAATTGCCAAAATATATGAATCAGGTCTACCTAGATGCGTGTGTCATGTGACACAGTGATATACTGTTTATGTTATTCAAATTAAACTTGCTAGGGAGGGTGTTAACATATTGACAGCAAGTCGGTGGTTTTACTTAGGGGATTCACTAATAAAGATGGCTAAACATTTAAAGTTCCTAAAATATCACCTGTGGAATGAGATAGACCTGCAGGTGCTAGACCATTCAATGCATTTTCAGAGGAGCAGTATGCATCGATGCAGCGAACAAATAATGGGAGTGATTTTATCGTGCGGATAGATTGTGGTAGGTTATTCCATACTCTGGAAAATTTACAGGTGAAGTAATTCATATAAAGAGATGATTTAGAATGAGTTTGTTTCACTAGTGCCAAGGAATTACGGATGTCATAATGAGAGGTTTCTGCATATTGAATCGCGTGATCGGATGTAAACGATAGTTTATGCAGTAGTTTGAAGAAAAAGATAAGATTGAGTTTGAGTCTCCTCCTCCATAAAGGGTCTGTACCAAGTTTATTACATCTAGAATTATAAGTTAAGGCATAATCAGCTCCAAGAACACGAAGTGTAAATCGTCTCTGTACTGATTTCAGCCTTAAATTATCCTCTATGCGCGCACTGCTAATAATAAACGTGCTATATTCTAGAAGAGGTCGAGTACAAACTTTTTACATTAGAATATGTGACTCATTGTTGTAAAGGTTTCGAGTTATGTAACCTATTAGACGTTGAGTCTTGGAGGTCTGTTTTAATACCTGTTCTGTAAACGACAAGTCTTGGGAGTATCCAAGTCCTAAGTCTACTACTGTATGTAACCTAGATAACACTTCTCCATTTATGGTAATGTCTAGGTTGAATGATGTATCGCCGAAGCATATCTATCCAAATTTAGCCGTATTAAGCTCCAGTTGCCATGTTAAGCACCACTGTGCTACCTTGTTAGGCTCCATGCTGATGCAATTTTGCATATTTTTCAGGTCATGTGGAGAAAATGAATATACTACTTTAAGATCATCTGCATATAGAAGGGACTTACCCACACAAAAACTTTCACAAATATAATTGATAAACACTAAAAAGAGCAAAGGACCTAAGACACTACCTTGTATTACACCACTTCTAACTGGGACAGCGTTAGACAATGAAGATTTAGAATCTGATTATTTATTCCTTATTAACCTAGTCGGCGGTCTATGCTCTACGAGGGGTGTCAGGCATAAATAAATGAAAATAAAATCAAAAACTTGTTTTTATTGTAAAAAATCAGAACGAAATATCGGAACAGTCAATGTACAAACGATAAACTAGAATACAAGTTAATTAGAATTAAAAATATGAATGAAAGAAAAATGACAATGAGGTAATCAAACGTTAAGAAAGAGTTGAAGTAATGAACAATACAATTCATTAAATTCAGTAATTTTATAATATATCTTTCTTTATTGCCATTAATCTGTTTTCATTTCCTTCATTACACAATCATCTAATGTTTGTTAACTCTGTGAGTTCTAATCACTAGTTCGATGTTCTGGAACTTTCCATCGCACACTTTATTTCTTTATCTGAAATAAAAAATTGTTATGACCTTAATGACTCTATTGGAATCTTCTCTACATCATGATATACATATTCATCACTCATCACCGTATTTATGAATATTGACATATTCATAATAACTGATTTTGAAATATTATAGGTTGTATGCAGCTGATGAGGACCTAACAAAATAAAATTATTTTAATAGTTGAGATCATGAGTCACTTGAAGCTAGACCACCATGGAAAACCTGGAAGCATTGGATGGTCGTTTCGTCCTGTTGTGGGACTCCTTAGCAGTGCTCATTCACTATCCCGCCTCGCGAGATTCAAACCCAAGACCCATCAGTCACGTGCGCGAGCGCTTAACCATTAGACCACTGAACTGGCATCCAACGGTGTTAATGCCTAACTTCAAGTAATCCACGAAATTGAGCGACACACCCACCATCGTCTTCAGTGAATTACTACCTCACAACAGACACGGTTGAACTCCAGTGATAGGTCTTGGGTTCGGATCTCGCGAGGCCGGATGGTGGATGAGAACTGCTGAGTCCCACAACAGGACGAAATGGCCACCCAGTGCTTTCAGGTTTCCCATGGTGATCTAGCTTCAAGTGACTCATGACCTCAACTATTAAAATTACTAAAATATCCACAAAACCCCTTCTGAAAATAAAATGAATTTATATTATTCTGCATCAGTCTTTGTTTTTGTTCTCCTCAAGATACTTCGCTGCATTTCGGATTGAAGAGTTCTGTATTAGAGTTTCAGTATGAATATCAACTAAAAGACACAGGTACGCTTGTTTTATAAGTTCTAAATGGAATGAAAAGAGCTTCTTGTATACCACTGCTGGTGATCCCGTGAGAGTTGCTTCAATATAGCCACTTTATCATTAGCTTTTTAAAACAGATAAATATCAGTTAGTAACCGAATCCAGGACTTATGTTATGTTCTGTTTGGGACCCATAAACTAACTAGTGCCTATCTAAACTCACCAACTTATCGGATAGCACATTGACGTTTTAAGCGATAAGCACTAGGTCTGAGTCTTCGTGTAAACTTTAACAATATGATTCAGGTACATCCATCTTGGGAGTCCTAAATAGAATGAAATCCTCTTCCTGAGTCCCACTGCTAGCCATAATTCATCAATTTTAAAATAATAACTAATTTCTTGTTGATTGTCACATAAACAGTTTGTTCTCAGTGTACCCTTCATTTTGACTGATAAATTTAGTCTTTATTAAATGTACCTCAATAATAATAGTTATAATAATAATAATAATAATTCATTTCTACCCAATGAGAAACGGTTATTTTATCTAATATGAATATACACTTTATCATCAGCATAAACTAATAATTTGCGTGTGAGAGAAAAAATATCAATAAAGTGCAGAAAGTATGAATTGTTAGGCAGTATCAATTCATGTCTTGTATAACATGTTATGTGTTTCCTGTGCAAATGTATATGCCACATCCTATCATTCCCACTAAACTTATCTGTTTAAGCCAATTGTATTTAATATAAGGAACCAATCTAAGTCATTTACAACACAGTTAATCTGTGTGATAATTTTGATTGTTTAAGAAATATTGGGTGTGTTTTCATCCCTTGTCCACTGTATGTAAAAGACATTCACTTTAGAAGAGACTGAATAGCAAATTATGTTATAAACATTTATTATATGTTCTCATAAAGATTCACTTTCTTTTTAATGGCTTCTCAACATTGTTCAATTCGTTTAATTCGTCAAGATACATCTATTCCATGGGGTTTTCGATTAGAAGGTGGTACTGACTTTGGTCATTCTATAACTATACAACATGTGAATCCTGGAAGTATAGCTGATTACAGTGGACTTCGGGCTGGTGATCATGTGATACGAATTAATCAATCTGAAACTAAATGGATGAGACATGATGATGCAAAAATGGAGATCATACGATCAAGTAATGATTTAGAATTGTTTGTTCAGCGTAATGAAATTATAAATCAATATACACATCAAAATAATTTTTCTCCATCACCAAAACATTCGTTAAGTAGATCACCGAAACCAGTTTCTCCACAACCAGTTAGTCGACAAACTATTTGGCAACCTAAAATTGTTTCATCTGTTCAAATGTCACCAAATAGTAATCATAACAATCACCAAGCATATGGAACTCATGTTAATTTAGAGGCTACATCGAAAAATGAAGAGTCATCATCTATTGGAGTTAAGCACAATATCTCACCACTTCCATTTGGTCAATCACCACCGGCACCTGGAGAAAACGTACTAACAAAAGTCGGTGAGGGACGTTATAGAAAAATCAGTCACTCATCATATAATTCACCTATGGGTTTATACAATCAAAAAAATAGAAATCAAACATTTGAAAGAACATTGTCTAATGCTACAGGCAATCAACATGATGGTACAGCACCTCAAGTATCACCAACAACACCACCATCAATGTATTGTGGATCATGTGGAGGTTTTATACGCGGTGTTTTTGTTAAAGTACAAGGTCGTATCCCAATGCATCCTGAATGCCTTAAATGTTGTAAATGTGGAATAGGTTTACGTAATATTGGTTATTTCTACATTAAAGAACAATTGTATTGTGAAACTCATGCTAAACAAGCTGCACCACCTCCTGAACCTGGCATGAAAGCTGTTGTTGTTTATAAATAACAGGTGAACTTTGAAAAAAAAGAAATAATAATTTAAGTTCTATGAAAGATATTTAATATCCAATTACACATGAAGCTATCAAAATGATTTAGTGAGTTTTACCATTTTTTGTTGTTGTTGTTGTTGAAACAAAACAAACTATTATTATTTCCCGTCAACAAAAATGTTTAGTTTACAAAATCTATTGTCAAAATCATTAGGATTAGTCCAAAATTGGATATTTTATCAACAAAAAAACCCATCTTAACTCTCATTACCAGTTGGGCATGTAAATTGATTTATAACATATATATTACATTAAATGATTTGAATATGGACAAACTTTTTAACAAACCGTCTACTCAATATATCCAACTCCTTTTTCAATTGGTAAGATTGAATGATTAAGAAACTATTTAACTGAATGATAATTATAATTGTGAATGTATGATCATTATTATTATTATTATTATTATTATTATTATTATTATTATTATTATAGTTTACAAATAAATACCTACAATCTATATACCTTTCTATTTACTTTGAGAAGAGAAGAAAAACAAACAAACAAACAAAAGAGGTGAGATTTTCCAACATTTAACCTTGACTAAGATTAACATATACATTTCATGTACCGTAGAATTTACAAATTAATTTCCTTTTTTTTCTTTTTAATTTCAGCTCTCTTTCTGATTATCCGTCGATTGTTTGTTTTTTCTCTTTTTTTTCCATGCAAACTCATGCAGCCCTTTTATTTTAGATGTTTCATTCTACTTATTCTATAGTTTATTTCATTATCTTGATTAATATTCACTATTAATGATCGTAATTATAAAATTGTAATTGTTTAAGTATTCAGTAATTCATTATTTTATTGATTAGATTATTGTTAATACGATCAATGTATGAACCGTTAAATATTGATTGTGTATCCGGTAATAAAATAATCAATTTAGTCTTATCAAAATTGTTATTATCATTTCAATGAAGATAATAGAAAAGAAAATATCTTGAATTGTGTTTTATTTTTCTTAAATATAATAAGTAAAGAAATTTCATTTTGTCCGCGAATTTGTTGTTTAAATTATATGGCCTAATAACATAAGTCATTCCAATGTGAGCTTGGGTATAATAATTTACATCAACACTATTTTTTTAATTGTCATAGCTTGGTTATAACTTTGTGATTAATATATAGAACTTTCGACTTTTGATGAGGCAGATTTAAATCTTTAACCATATACTGTGGTTTCAATGATCAGGTCGTATCAGTTGTTTAAATTTAGTTAAGCTAATGTATTGAAATGATAGAAGAGATTTGTAGCTGAAATGGATTTTTTTAATGTTGATTTTTATTTACTGAATAGTTTACTGAAGAAAATTTCGTTCTCATTCTAGACACCATTAAAGTTTGCCTATCCCAAGTAAAAGTGTTAATGATTTTGTTCATAATTATAACGAACTCTTCACAATTAAACGACTTAGATAATAGTAATTAGCATTACCAAAAATATCAATATATGGAGACGTTCATTAGAAAAAATTTTTCTTTAAGAAGATATAATTTTCTAGAGCTGCTCAATCGTACTCACGGTTATTTTTACATGTAGTGGTCTATAACAAAATATTGAATTACTGTGTCATTAACAGAGGTACTAAAAGTCAGTTAAAATTTAAAGTTACGTAACACTCAAAGGGTAACAAAAATAAATTAACAAATGGAAGCGAAATATAGAAGATTACCCATTTGATGATTATAAGGAAAATAAAAATATGAGCGAATAAGTGTCTAAACAAGACATAGAACTGATATTTAAAAAATTATTGTCTACTTGAAGAATACGGGAAAATAAAGAAGAAAAAACAACCACGTTCAAAAATTATCAACAAAATGGCACTTCGTATGTTAGGACCATGGTAAACTAACGAATTGAATATGCATCTTTTAAACACAAAGATCATTTGTGAGCTGACAAATACCCGAAGCACACGCTATTTATAAGTTTCTTGCTCAGCTTCCCTTCGAAACAATTCGCCCTACTTTATGAATAAATTTTACTGGGGGTTCTGGTGGAGGTAGATGACTAGATGTTCAACAGTTAAGCTAGTGGCTGACTTGTATTCACTATTCTATAACCATGCTCGACAGTGCCTGTATAAAGGGTTTGGAATGGGCACACTTTGAGTGACCAGTATTACAAGCTCCACAAGAATAAATAAAACGATGGATATACAGTGTGGTGGCCCGAAGCGGCGATTTATCCTTGACACATCCTGGTATCGCACATCTGCTGAAGAATACAGTTCGTATTCCAACTAAATAAAAGATCTCCTTCAGGAATTTGGAAGACTAATTTTGTTAGATCTCCTAGACTTTACCTCCTCCAAATTCAATGTCCTAGAAAAAAATCTTCCTCAGTAAGCGAGTTCCTTCAGTTAAGCGTCTGGGCTCCAGGTTGCTGTTAGTGAACCTTAGAGGAAATCAATTTTTCATAGACATTTTTTGGGTCCCTGTAATGTTTATAAGTAATTGAGTTATATTATGAACTAAGAACCCCAGAAATAACGTAATCGGATCACGAAGTACTAGATAACCACAAACGAATGTACTGTGTTTAGAATTAGAAATCAAGCATACAACAAGTACAAATGTATCACTAATTCATTCAAACATCACAGTGCCATCCTATTTTACTCCGATTGTGTCCTCTGTACAGACCTATTAATTCTCGAGGATAAGAAATGTATCGAATTTCTCTTTCTACTCGGTGTAACCCAACACTAGAAGTTCTTATATTTCCCATCCCATATTGCGTTTGTATGAACCGTTCTTTGTAAAGAGCCGTTCGGTTTTCTTTAGAATAAAACATCAAGAAAGTGAAATTCTGAGGTTGTCTCTGACCATAGGGTGAATGTGACCGATTAGCGGAAAATATTAAACGTCTGTAGTATTTTATTAGGAACATTCGTTTCATCAAAAATATTGAAAGCATCATCTAAATATCACCTATAGAATGAAAATTACGAGTTGTCAATTAAACAGTATTCCCTAGATTGATCACGAAATATTTCGCTGAGAAGACTTAGTAGGGATCTTGAAGCAATGACACAAGTTTTATTATAGAAATCATAGTTGAATCTGAATTGTCCATTAAAGGTGCAATGTACAGAAATCCTTGGAGATAATGTTTTAAAATACCAACATTGATGCCGAAATGAAAATATCTTAATGCCTACAAATCTAATGTAAAAAAAAAAGATTTTTTTACAGTTACCTTAAAATATAGCAATTTACGAATGTATACAAGAAATCAGATTTCCTATAGATTTGTGTAAGATGTTGGTCTTATTAATTAACTCATTCTTTGTCTAAAAGAAATATATAAATCCACTTAGGTATACAAAAATTCAGCGAGGCGTTCATCTTAAGAAATTAAACAAACAAAATAGAAAAAAAAACACAACTAAGTATGAAAGTCATTAAAAATAAGAGATTGAACAGAAAGATTTATTTAGTGGGTGATTTACAGCAATATGCCCCTAATAACAGTTACAACGTAAAAGTTTTGAAAACAAGTCAATAACATTTCCTTTGTTAAAAAAAACTGTTCCCCAGCACATAAGTAGAACTAGCATTATATTCAATAAATTCTTGTATGTTTCTACGACTATCAATTCAATTTAATCATTAAATGAAGCAGCTAAGTTTAGGATGAATACATCTTTTAAAACGATAGAATACTATTATTTGTAAATTATGTATGTTTGTGTGGCGAGACTATAATACCAATCACGTATAAAATAACAAGTCTCAAATTTCGGCGCGAAATTCACTCATCCATTTGGTTAAATAGAGTTTTGGCATTATAGCTTATGTCAGTTCGTGGTGAAAACCCTAAATCTAATGCCTAGCCTTAACCATCAACTTTAAATCATAATTCTAATTCCTCACACTGGTTTATAACCGTTATTTGATCCTAGTTATTAGGCGGACACTCTAAAGGTCATTTTAACGTCGCTCAAAGGTCATCTATATATTATGGTTTCACCGCTTGTCTTTATGAATGTTCAAATCACAATAATTAGATCGTATGTTCAATGAAAATTGTGAAAATAATAAGTGAAATAATTTTAGATAACAGTGTAAGTACTAACCAGATGTAATTTTCACCCGAGATTTACTAATCCATCAAATTATGTAAATTATGTGGGAAATGATCACGAAATTACTCAGTTTTTTTGTGAATAATATCAAAGTCATATTAAGGACAGTAACCTTGAGAGGTGTTTTGCCGATTCAGTTTACCGTATAAACTTTACCTTTTTCTGATAGGCTGCTGTGACCTCTAGTTAACTAATTTCCTGCGTGCTTGAATTTCATACGTTCACGACTATGTATACCATTCTGTCCGAATATCGAGTCTCTCTTATACTTCGCCTTTTTCCTGTGTGACCAGCTAGTCTTTGAAGTGTTGTATGTCAGTTGTCCTTACTGAGTCTGGAATTTAACCGTTTGTATTAGAATAGCCGTGAGCTACTTGATCTTATGTTCCGCGATAGTCTGAGTCATATATATAGATACACAAGCTTCTTAGACTCTGACCAAATCTGCTTGATATGACGGGATAAAAATATGACATTATTCAGGTCGATATTTTTTGTATCAAGTCAACATAGATTTCGTTAGTGGGATACTTATATTCCCTGGATTAATTCAAGCAAACTATATTCAGTGTTTTACTTTCAGTAACTCTATGTATTTCCCCTTATATCTGTTACTATAAAGTGTTTAAAATTAAGTATATAAATGATTGTATTTTGGTCTAATGTACGATGTGATTTGTGACGTGGTTTTGGAGGAGGGTTGAGCATAGGGCCGGCAATCACATCCCGTCGAATATAACCTTGCTAAAAAGCACTAAACCATTTAACACTTTTATACTCTGTCCTCCGAGTTGAAGGAAGAATTATGATGCCTCACGGTGAAAACCGATATTGTTTTGAAAGTCATGAGGCCGATGCCTCTTCTAAGAACCAGAGCAACAATTAAAATGGGTGCATGGAATGTTAGAACAACGTAAGAGACCGGGACGGCCAGTCAATCAGCTACGCAAATGAAATGCAAATTAGCGGTTCTTGGAATCAGCGAAACACATTGAACCCAAGCTGAACAGAAAACATTAGAATTGAGAAAGATGCTTCAGTACTTTGGTCGTAAAGAGAAAAATGCTCCACACACTATGGGAGTTGCTCTGGTGTTGTTTGAATGAGCACGAAATAAACTTATAAGGTGGGAATCTCGTGGACCCAGGATCATCAAAGCATCTTTCAAAGCAAAGAAGGGAATCACAATGAATGTTATCCAATGTTATGCACAAACCAATGAACGCAACGACGACGATAAATATGACTTTTACAAGAGGCTATACTCGATCACAGCGAAGTGTCCAGGAAAGGACCTGACCATCCCGATGGGAGATATAAACACTAAAGTCTGAATGGAAAACACTGAGTATGAAGATATCATAGGATGAAATGGATGAGAGAAAGGAACGAGAATGGTGAGAGATCTGCAAATCTATGCCCATCCAACAAAATGGTTATAGGCGGCACGATATTTTTACACAAATGCATACACAAAGTTACATGGGTATCAGCAGACCACACTACACAGAACCAGATTGATCACAACCGCATCAGTAAAAAATTCACAAAGTCAGTGGAGGACGTAAGAACCATGAAAGAAGCTTACATATCTCTGGATCACCACCCAGTGGTTGCCAAGATGAAACTGAATCTAAAGAAGCATTAGACAACTGGGGAAATAGCATTATAAAGGTTCGATATGGCCCTCCTTCGAGATATTAACAAACTAACTAAATTTAAGACAACTCACAACGATTGGTTTCAAGACTTGCAGGATCTACTGGAAGAAAAAGACACTGCTATGGAGGACAACTGGGAAGGGATCAGAGAAGCACTAACTTCAACGTAACAGGATGTGCTGGACCAAAAGGGAGGGAGGTATAGAACAACTATATGACACGACGAAGAAACCTATAAGGAAATATAGTAGACCAGAGAGAGTTGTCAAGTATGAAGAAGGCAGAACAATTACTGAAATTCAAGAGCAGAGAATGAAGTGAGTGGAACATT